CCCCAAAACCCCAAAACCCCATGAATTAATTACATTGAGTCATAATAGTTATTAGTAATGAAATTAAATAGTCATTTATTATTTTTGGGCTCATTATATAGGCCTAATACATCAGAGACTCTCATTCTTCTAACAGCACTTTATACTCTATTTTACTATGATCTCAATTCACTATCGAATTCATCCAGATAAGCTGGTCTTATGGGAAGAGACTACCTGCCTTTCAGAGACCCTTCCTAAGTTTGAGGTCTTGATTAATGTAAAAACTGGTTACTAAATTTCTGGAGTTGATATCCATTCAGCTGTAATTGATTATTTTTACCCTTAAAGCTAGTTGAATGAAATCTTGTCTATTCTTAACTACCCAAACTATTTATATTTCTTGCATTCTCGGACAAATGTGGCTCTTAATAGCGCTTTCTTATAACTTGATGAGCACCACCAGATTTTTTACTATGAAAGGGTCCACCATCAAATATAGTCTTACTAATTACTCTATTTTAGGGAAACTTTTTGGCTATGGTTGATCTAAAGTGATCCTCTTCTACACCTAATGTCTAGAGGCCTAAACGTTAAACAGATGAGTGCTATGAACCAAGCACCTTTTTCATGCTTAATTTCATATGTGTTCTAATTTGCTTATTTTCTTTTAGCAAGTCATAATTAACTCTCTGGTGAGATTAATCCTTTTTATATTCGAAGTACTGTGAGACCGTCTTTTTAAGTTTATTCTAATGATTTTCATATTCTTTTAGTCTTGCAGATTAGTCAGTCTAATATTCATTTTGAAAATGTGAAGCAAAAAATTATCGCTAAAGTGTCTAAAATTAATCTCTCATTTGCTAAAGAGGTGCATGGGATATCTTTTCAAACTCCTTAATTTCAAAAGGTGGTGGTCTATTATTTTTAAAATCATCTTGCTTTCTTGCAGAAAACAATCTTCTTTTCATCTATGATTCCTAGAGTGATATTCTTCAGGCCATATTTTACTCCGTTTTTAATTTGTCCGATTCAATTTGGCTTGTTAAGTTTTTACTTGAAGTGACTCGTGAGATCATACCTACTAAAGGATGTTCTAATGCTTTTACATGAACATTTCTACTTCTTTAAGCTGATTGAGCTCTCTCAGTTTCTATTTCATTTTACTATAATTTTTAAAGGTTTTCTTATTTAACCAATCTTATTGGAGGTTTAGGGGAAGTTATTCTAAGCATTTTATTGGCTGGTGTCCTTATTTTTCCTTGAAGTCTACTGTCTTTATTTGCATCAGATTGAACTAACACATTTTATTTGCTTAATTTGGTATCATTATTAGAAGATTTATCTTAATCAGACTCTTTAGGAACTCCATCAGAAAGCACATTAACGAAATTGTCTAGCATATTGATAATATTCCCCTAGATCTTTTTCCTTTTTTCGAGCTAAATGTTTATCAAACTTAAAGAAAGTTACATCAAGTTCATCTCCTGAGGGATCTGAATCTGATCCTCCGCTTGAATCAGAAACTAAATCTTCTGGATCTGCATCTAAATGCTGATTTTTTTCTTTCAACTTTATTTCTTTGTAAATCTAATCAATAGTCCTGAATTTCTTAAGATTCTCGCCAGCTTCATCTTAGGCATTTAATAAGCTATTGTCTTGGGGATTTTACTCTAAAACTGCTTTGCTATTTTTTAATCGTTTCTTACCTAATTTAAGAGTCGTCTGTTTATTCTTCTTCTATCCAGATTTATTAGATTTTTAGCTTTCATCTTGCTATTTTTTATCCTCATCTCCAACACTGTTATTATCCTCACTAAATATTTGAATATTTTGCATAAGTTTTTTTAATTTTTTCTTATCAATTTTAATGTTACTATTTGTTGGTTTGCTTTTCAAGGTACTAGATTTTAACTAGTTAATCAGTCTCTGTTCTTTTATCTTTTCGTCTTCTTCTTTGATCATTGAATACTCATATAATGATGTCCCTAATTTAATTCCCATTTTTTCGTATTTAGAAATTTCATAGTCTTTTGTAATTCTTTTTTCATTAAAGTATCCAAGGAAAGATGCTTCAAGAGTAAAGCAATTTAATATATTAAATTCCCTGAAAAGCACAACTCGAGCTGTTTTTTCTTTAGACTTTTCTATTCTAAATCTACTTGCAAAAAATCTAAACATTGAAGTCTATTCTGATAGAATTTTAGGTAGTAGCCTCATTTTAAGGTAATTTTCATGATGAATTTAATAATATGGTCCGTAAACAAACACATTCTTCTTTCTACTATGCCCATGCATATCGATAAATGCTAGCAAGCAGTTATCATTCGGAAAATACTGTTAATACTCGAATTTCATGTCCTTCATCAGTCTTTTGATTGCCACTACTGAGGGATGAAGCTACAAATGTGGCTTTAAATATTATCTGTTTAGATCATTTCCACTCATTGAAGTTCTATAGTTTCCAATAAGCACTCCATCTGGATTTATCATGGGTATAATCTTAAATATAATACGCTTTCTCAATTCTTGTGCCTCAGTATGATTACTTGTTATGAATCTGATAAACCCTTGCATCATAAAAGAGCCATTGCTTTCACCAGGATGTATTCTACCAGATATTACCACCACTTTTTTAAATTTAGACTTGGGCAACTCTTGTCCATGGAACTCATTTGGAATAATCTGGTGCATATTTTTAGATGTTACTCTGGTCGTTACTGTGAGTAGAGGTAATTCAATGCCTGATAAGGCTCTGCAAAGAGTAGTCTCTTGATAGAAATAGCTGGAATTTGGTTATTATTTAATACTTTTCAGGAAGCTATGCAGCTTTGTGAATGAGTAAGGAAAACAATAAGCAAAGTAAGTTTCATCATTTTCAAAGACAAAGTCATAGGTGAAACTCATTTGATAATAAATTTTTTATTTTACAGGAGCTTCATCCTCATCCTCCTCAGATTCGCTGTAATCACTCATGTTGAAAAACCTTCTCTGAATATTTTAGTTTATTTTTGAATACTTATACTCAATATCTATTCCCCCTCTTTTCCAGCCTATGCTGTCTATATCTATTTCCTGATTTTAACTCTTAAAACTGTTAAAATCTCCTGATTAGTTTTATCTTTCCAAATGCTGTTTTGTTAAGATTTTTTTCTCCTTCGAACTGCAATAGCAAACTTTCATTCCTTGCTCATATAAAGATTGTTTCTTGGTGAAATTTACAATGTTAAATCTGACTTTTTTTTAATTAGTATTTTTAACTCTAAAATAAAACCACTAATGATGACCTCTAGTGTTTGAATCTACTCTCATATAAAGATCATATTCATCTTTATTAACCAATACTACTTTGTCTAGATTTCCACATTCAAATTTTGAATCAAAGTCCAAAATATCTCCGCATTGGATTTACTCGCTGTAAAGTTAATTCATTCCGATGAATGGCCTTCCATTTTGCACATCAATAACATTTCCATTTTCATCATAACTGACCACATGGCCATTTTCCTTATCTATCCATTTTTATACATTTTCAGGCAACTTAGGAGGAAACTTAAAAGGGTATTGGCTAATCATACTGTTTTTCTTTAATAGATACTCCTGATGCATAACTAACGAATCCTTAGGTCAAAAACCGTAATAAATAATTGGTAGTTTCTTTTTATTTGCTCTGTCAAGAGGGGTGATATCTAGTAGTTCCTCTTCATAGTCAAAATAAAGTGGGATAGGGATTGAAATCTCAATTGCCTTTGGTTTCCAGCCAAACTTCATATCAGGTGCAAGCGATATTCCAGATTTCACCAAAGGCATTACTTCTAGCATTGGATTTAGCTTGATTGCCTATTGAAATAGATTTCATTAGTCATCTTAAACATTATTATTATTTTCACTAGTTGTCTTAATTTACATCAGTGTATTGTCCTTTCCCTTCAATAATAAACTCCTGTTATTTTATCCTGTTTGAGATTCATCGTTTGCCAAACTTGATTCATCATTATCTGACCCTATAGACAGTATAGTCTTTTATTAGGAAGCAGCAATCAGATTTCGCTTAATATCAACTGCTTCTGTTGAATTAGCACCTAGAATAACATCACTTTTATGCAGGTAACTTTGCTTTGATTTCTAAATCATCATCATTTTAAAATGTAATCTAATTAAATTTAATTTTTATTCGGAATTATCGAATACTTCCCTATGGGGTTTTGGGGTTTTGGGGTTTTGGGG